AGATATGTAATAATATTTATCTATATTTATAATTATGTATTTTTATCATTATATAAAGGTATAAGAAAATAAAGAGGCAAGCAAGTTCTTGTCAATTAATTTATTTTATAACCTATATTTTGTTGAAATAATATTTGTTGATATTATTTCCATGTAATAAATAGTTGTTGCTATTTATTCTCTCATTTATAAATTAATGAATTAGTAGATTCGTTACAATTATAATTGAAATAGCGAGACACATCATTATTTCTATTATCATTACGGGAATGGTTGTAATTATTATTACTGTTGTTATTATTATAATTATTAAGATTGTAATTGTTTCTGGGAGCTCGATTTGATATTCTGGAAATTTCTTGAGCAGCAAGTGCAGAGATAAGGGTGACATAATTAAGAGACATTTGTTATAATTGTTTAGTAATTATATCAAGTTCAGTATCAAATACAGAATTATGTAAAGAAGAATATTATGAGAAAGGTCAAGATTCAATTATTACAGTGCTTAAAATATATAGTAGAGCCATTAAGATCACTGGTTGAAAATTAATAAATCATACACAAATTGGGTACCCAATATATGCATGGTGCATCCCTAATATCAGATATATATCAGGTACCCGATAGGTGTAGAAAATATTTTTTTATACTTATCGGGTACCCGATATACAAATAAAATATTTTCTACACCTATCGGGTACCCGATATATGCCCGATATTAGGGACGCACCATGCACATATTAGGTATCCAATGTATGTATGATTTATCAATTTTCAACCAGTGGATAGATTATTGAATTGGGAATAGGAATAATTATATATCAATAATTCCATTGAATAGAAGATTAAATGTTTAATTTATTCTTTTTTTTATTATAATAAAGACAACTTCAAGTAGAAAACTTGAATTTTAAGTGTATACTGTATAAAGATAAATTAAATTTAATTAAAATATAATGTTAGGGATTTGATAGATTATATAAAATTTAAAATAAAAAATTTTCTCATGCACCTGATAAGGAAAAAAATATCAGTTTCTGAAATACTTTAAAAATATCGGATTCATGATATTACTATAATATTGAATACCCGAAGGAATCTAAAAAATATCATACTTCCGATATTACAATTTATTATCATATATCTGATATTAATAAAATATTGGGTATTTGAGATTAAAATAAAATTTTATTATATAGCTTTCAGGCACATTATAAAATTTACAAAAGTGCTATTGGGTCCTTAAAAAAAAATACAGATATCAGACCTCCAATATATATAAAAATATTTTATATACCTGATAATTTCCTGATAATCACCTGATATTTGAAAATATCAGAGGGCTGATAGGTACCTGATAGATATCTGATATTTGAATTTTGACCTGTGTTAATAAAATATTGGATACCTGAGATTAAAACAAAATTTATCACATAACTATTGGGCACATTATAAAATTTACAAAAGTGCTATTGGGCCTTAAAAAAAATAATACAGATATTGAGTATCCGATATATATAAAAATATTTCATGCACCCGATAATTTTCCAATAATCACCTGATATTTGAAAATATTGGAGGGCTGATAGGTACCCAATAAATATCCGATATTCGAATTTTGACCTGTGTTACTAGCTAATTAACTTACTCTCAACAACAGTCGTATTTATACTTTCTCTTTTATTTACACTTCATTTTTCATCTTTTGTATTTCATCTTTCATCCTTTGTGCATCATTCTTCATCCTCATATGATATTCTTTATCCTTTATCTTTGTACTTCATTCTTTATCCTTATACGACATATTATAGATAACTATATAAAGATGACAATTACCCAAAGTTTATCTAGTGTTACAAAATATCATCTCCTATGACATTTCACCTAATTACCAATTTGCTTTGCCACAGTATCACCATATTCTGGCACATAGAATATTGCCAAATTTTTTTTAAGATATACATTACAAACCTTGAGTCAACAACATATAATATGTAATTTTCATATGTCCAAACATGTTTTCCATTCTGATAAGCCTCCTCTGGTGATTATATGACTATTTTCACTATCTAAGTCACATGTAGAATTTTCATTATCAAAATTCTATGTCAAATTTTCTACCATTTACTGTACTACATCATTGATCATTGTTACAAGATGAAATTTATACATTATATAACAAATTAAGAAATAAAAGATATAATTTTTTAGCCTTAAAATTCTTGGAATGACAATTATTTCAAGTTAAAGATGTAAAGCCAAAGAAAACATTTCACATTTCTAAGTGAAGATAAGTTGAAAATTATTGAACCAAGCATATTTGATGCAATATCAATGCTCTAATTCAAATCTCATAAAGGAAGTGCCCGTCTTATACGAAATTATTTTCGAAATTATAAAAAGAGACCTATATTTGGCATCTCAAAAGTTTGGAATGCGGTGAGAAATGTGAATATCAATCAAAAGAATCATCAGATAAGATTTCTGTGTAATAATGATTTTCGCGAGATGAGACAAAAAATCGTTTATTATTATAAATGGAAAATCTAATAAATAAAAATTTTCCTGTGAAACTGAACATCAATCACAGTGATTTTCGCGAGATGACACCAAAATCGTAAATGGAAAATCAACAAATAAATCTATACCCTTTTTGTAAAAACAATGAAATTTTTCCTGTGGAACAGAAACATTAAATCGATTAAACAAAATAATATTATACCATTTTTGTAAGAACAATAAAAACTAGTCGTGGAACTGATTTTCCTTTAACTATTAGTTATATTAATTCTGGTTTAAATTTTATTATTATTGTACATAAAAGTAAAAAATAACAATTGGTCAGCATAAAGATTTTATTTCAAAATACACAGATAATCTAAACGATAGATAACAGTTTTAGATTATTTAGATGCACTATCTTCTAGTTCAACATTTATTCATTATTCAATTACCATGTTCGGAATGTGATGTGATCAGGTTTTTATTTTTGGAAGTGTACAAGATTACGACAACCATTTATTTATTTATTAAATAACTAAAATATAGTAAAGAAATTTTTTTTTTAGAGACTCGTTATATTAGAATCAACAAATTTTTTCTCATATCCATTACATAAAAGCACTAATAATTAATTTCCCAAAATTTATCATTGTTTTCTTTTAAATAAATTAAAAATTTCTATATCTATTATTTCATCATAATGAAACGATCAAATTTAAATTTAATGATTTTGCTAATAGCGTTGACGTTAATGACAATTTTTTCTCCGATGTCTTCGGTGTCTGGTTTTAGAAGTTTTACACATAATGAAACGAATCCATTCGAAACAAGTCCTCGGATATGGCAATACGGGACCTACTTCGATGGGACAGTGGTTCTTCGAATTATTAATAGGGATCCTAATAAAAATTCTTCTACTACTGAACTGTGGATAAGACCAGTGTTATCTTTACGCATTATTTATCCCAATGGAACGGTTAGTGAAATAGACATAGAACTAGAAATTCCAGAATTTAACTGGCACCCTTTAATTGATGATTATATCCAAGATACTATAAATATATATGCGCTTCATAAAGGCTACTTACTTGTTACATACTTCAATACTTCAAACCCAGACGATATTAATACTTATGAAGAATGGGGACGAATTATTGATTGGAATGGCAATTTATATGAGTAAATATTTTCGAACTTTCTATAATAATCATAACATATCATATTTAATCAACTTCAATAATGATGAAATTATTATTACTTTTATTTACAAATATATTCCAAACTATAAAGTAAAGTAAATTTCTCGAAGGCTTACATCGAAAATGGTATATGGTACCCGATGGCAACGGGAATTGTGACTAATGTTGATCCAGAAAAAGGTTTTTTAAGGATATTTGGGATGAATGCAACTTATAACGAGTGGCAACAATACACGATGTGAGTTTTTTATATTACTCCATAAGTTTATATTATAAGATTTTACAATTTTTTTTTTTTTAGTGGTAACACATTCAATCTTAACAAGTTATCAGAAGGAAATATTGTACTTCCCCAAAATGGAAATTATGCTTTAATTAGTATAGTGGCTACGGTTGACGAAGGTTATAGCCTAATTATTGGAAATTCCACCAACTCCACTGATTCCAATAACAACAATCCGTTAGAAATTCGTACCGCGGTATATGCTTTAACAAAAGGATATCATGATAAGCAATTTAGTGCGCCAAAAATGATTTATCAATTACCCTTAGATAATGTTACAATAACTGGTATATTCACTGGTACTTCAAGTACTGGAATTGGACAAATTTGTGCACTCATTGTCACACAGAACTTCGCTAATTTTTCCAGAAATTATTATGTGAAACTTGATTTCTTGTCATCTGGCTCTATAACGGAAATCGTCCCATTAAGCATAAGCGTACCCGAATTACCATCAAATTCTACTTCAGGATGGTTACTAAATATTATTCCTCATGGTGGTTATTTATTCTTTGGTTATTTTCTGGATGCAAACAATCAGACCAATAATATTTGTGCATATTATTTTAACGAAGTCGCAAATAATTTTACTATATGGGATTATGGTGAATCAGTAGTTTTAAATAGACGAGGTGCTTTTATAATTTTGCCTAATAATACTATTTTAATATCACAAATAGAAGGTCTTAATGCGTGGAGTTTTAATACTACTGATATTCCTAAATTCACAGATTTTGACCATGGTTATTCAAATTTTCAAGTAAATTATACAAGTCCCTCAATAAATGCCAATATTTTAACTTCAACGAAAAATATCATGATCACATATTATGAGCCAGTGGAACTTTCTTATGGAAATATTTCGATCTATCAAATTGATAATAGTGGCAACCACATTATTCGACAATTTTTTAAGGGTATTAATAGTTTTTGTTCCATCTCTGATGACGGATTAACTGTAACTGTAAAAGTTATCAAAAGTACCTTTAGTAATCCTAATAGCCAATTTTATGTTAAGGTTGATATTAATTTTGTAAGAAACAAAGCATACAAGGAATCCTTGATGGGCATATATGAAAATATTTGGAAATTCAATACAAGTATGTAAATTAATATTATTTTATTATCTTTCATTGATTTAAATACTAAATATCGTTCTCTCTTTATATCCTGACTGTATTTAGGTTCAAGTGAAGAAACCTTTGCAGGTAAATTTCATTGCAATTATTGCTACGTGTTTTAATATAAAATCACTCTAATTGGATAAATTTTCTATAATAGAAACAGTATCTGGAGCGCTGCGTTTAACTAAAGAAGGCACCGAATACTTCGAAAATCTTAATACAGCAGGAAAATATCAATTCTTTACAGATTTAAGTCTCGAATTATCTGAAATTATTCCTGTCAACAACATTAAACGACTAAGTTTAAATGGGAAATTTCAAGTTGATACCACTGTTAGTCCTAGTCGACAAATATTGATTTCACTTAGAATTGAATCATCCAAAGAAGAAAGAAGTGTTGCATCTATTGTAGATGATTTAAATGTTATGATTACATATAAAAACATGACTTCCATTGGTTTGGAATCTACCACAAAGTATTTAGATGAAAATTTTGGATTTAAACCTAATCGTGAGTAAATATTGTATTTTCGAATAATCCAACCTGCTATCATTGCTATACTAATCACTCTTTAAAATGTTTCTTCATTAGAAAAAGTATGGGACCAATATAAGTGGAGGTTTTTGGGTGTTATATTAGTACTTGCAATTTTAGTAACATTTTTTTTAATAGCACAGAAAATAGAAAGCAAGGTAAAAAAAAGGACATCTTATTTGTTTATTATATTTAATATTATTGAAGATGGAAATTTGTGTGATTTACACTATTAATACTCTCTTTCAGGGCCGTAATATTGCTGTTTTACAACTTGGATTAATTATTTTTGATTTTGTAATGGATGTCCTTTTCGTCAGTAAGAATGGTAAAATTATTGAAGTATTATATATTCCAAGGTAAATAATATATATGTATGCACATTTATAGTTGCATATTAATTTTTCTTCATTAATTTATTAAAAACTTATATAAATATATAAATAGTGTTGTATTCTTGATTGTTCCAATTGGTATCAACACTGTTTGGGCATTTTATATTATCAGTGATGAAAACAAATCTAAAACTTTCTTGGATTGGTTCACTCGACATGAAAAGGTGGCATCAGTATTTACAGTTTTATCAAGTGCTGACATCGAAACGTTAAGTATTCTCCATTCAAATATGGCAGGATTAAAATTTTTCCAAGCACCAATTTCAATTAAAGGGAAAAATAGAATATTTTGGGTTTCTTTTTTAACCATTTTTGTTGAAGATATACCGCAATTGATCATTCAGGTCAGTCGCCAAATCTTTTTTATTTATGGAAATTATTTTGTTTTGTTTTCTAATTATAAAAAAATTCAATATTTTTAGATAATATACTATCATAGAATAGTCACATATGATATAATTCCTCTTCTTGCACTCGTCTCTTCATGTCTTAGTTTGTTAATAAATATTATTGGTAGATTATTTCAAGCAATAAACAGTTGTCAACCTCAAACTTTAGAATGTGACAGTCCACAGAATCAAGATGGTTTTGACAGTTTTCAACAACTTCAGACATCAGCTACTGAAAGAAGTTTCACTTTGGACAAATCGTTATCGAATTCAATTGATGTTAATGAAGAAGAAAAAGACAGTGAAAAAAGTAATTTGACAAAAAGAAATTCAAAAAGTAGCTTTCAAGAAATAATAGATTTATAAAATATATTATTTACTTGCTTTACTAATTGAAGTAAATTTATGGGGGAACAAATAAAATATGTTCCTATTTTGATTAGCAAATTCATTATGTAGGAAAAATTTAATATTAAAATTTGATTATTAATCTTGTTTTTTTTTATTATTGGGAAATATCTATATTCTAAGTATAAATAAACAAGTTGATATTTGACTCCAGTTTGTCTAAAAACTAATCATAACAGCATAAACAATTTTCATAGTATTTATGGATGTTATATATGATAGTTATAAGTTTTAGCGAAAATTCTATGAGATTATTAGAATAGGAAAACAACGGAAAAGGGATAAATTTTTTTTTATGCTAAAGGTAATTGAAAAATTATATAAGATCAGAGATAAATATGAAGTAGCATTCACTCAAAATTTAGAATCGATAATTTAATTTATTTTTTATTTTTTTTATATATTCACAACAAATTATGGGTCCAGATCAAGATAATAACGATGACTCTAATAATGCTGATAATATCTCCGAAATCTGAATAAATTGCCTTTTGCATCATTTAAATCTTATTCTTTATATAGTAGATTTTTAATAGTATTCTGCATGTACAATATATTATAAATAATAAAAGCATATCAGAGCAATTTACATCGAAATATAGATTCGGATATATTAAAAAAAATAAACTTCTAACTTACAATACGATAAGCAAATAAAAATGGACAAGTAGAAATGAAACAATAGGTATAGAGAAATGCTCAATTAAATGCGAATTATTATGAAAAAATTATAGAATGGATGCCTTATGATAGATTTAAAAGTATTAAAGAAATAACAAAGGGTGGTTTTGGTATGATTAAATTATGCTGAGTGAATCGATAGATATAATGAAAATTAGGATATTAAAAAATCAACAATGAGAAAGATATGGTCAACGTGAGGTGGCATTAAAAAAGATTGATAATAATATTTTAAATTAATATGAAATTTATTTGAAAATTTATAACATATTAATTATTATTTAAAAAATTTTTAAGATGGCAATTCACTCGAGAACAATAGAAATAATTGTATTAATCTCTTTTATGGAATTAACAAAGATCCAAAAACTCACAAATATATGATGGAAGACAAAATCTTAGAAATTTTTTTAATAATAATTTTAATATAATAATATTAGTTGATCTGGTAAATTATATCATTTAGAAGAAGTTTTAGTATTAAATTATAGAGTAATATATGCATTTGATTAACAACAGCAACAAGGGAATTCATTATTATTTTCATTTTCAGATCTTGGTGTTTATGATAACAGTGATGATGATAATTTTTTTTTTAAATTCAACAGAGTCTTGCTCCAATAAACTTTTATTAATAAATTAGGTGTAAATTTTAAAGATACATATAATTTATTTTACATTT